ATATAATAAAAATTAATATAATAATATATTAAAATATATTGGTAATATATTATATAATATATTATTATATATATATAAAATTAAATAATATCTATAAATAATTAAATTATATATAAGTAAATAATATTTAAAAAAAAAATAATATTAAACAATTTGTTAATATATACTATATATATATAAATATAAACTAACAAATATATTAATAAATAATAATAAAATATAATAAAAAATTAAATAATATAATATATAAATATAAAATAATATAAAAATAAATCAAATATAATATAATATAATAAATAATAATATAATAATATATTTCTTAATCAATTGATAAGATGTTAAATTTGTTGAGCAAACCAAACAAAACAAATAATGTATTGAAATATAATTTTTTATACGATTATTAATTCGTATCTTTAAATTTACGCAATTATCCATGACGTTCACCTTTGCCATTGGGTTATCAATCTTCTCACTCGGACATTTGATTTGATTAAAAATACTAAAAATCTTTGCTTGCTATGTTGATCTTCGATTAAAATAGAATGATCGATTGTTAGAATTAATGGCCCCCAAACTTTCTTTCTTTCTTTCTTTCTTTCTTTCTTTCTTTCTTTCTTTCTTACTTACTTTCTTTCTTGTTCTATTTCTCTTGTTCTAGTTCGTTTATACTACTTGATGATACTATACTATGATATAACATGTACAATACACCCACATACTATGTTCAATCATATACACTCACACACAACTCATACTAATGGTATAGTTGGTTTTGTTCGACCATCGAGAAAACGGACGCGCTGTCTGCCCGTGTCTCTCGTTAATCGTCAAGGTCAAATCCTTCTTCTTCCACCCCTTTTTATAATTTCTAAGATTATCTTGACCATGTTATCTTACAGACGTTTCTAATCGTTCTATTTAATTGTCACTTTTTCAATGGAATTAATTCAACGCAATACACATCATTTTTCCTATTTGCTTTTGCTTTTTTTTTTCTTCTTCTTCTTCTTCTTCTTCTTTTTCTTTTTTTTTTTCCCCCATTGTTTGATTCAATCTTGATCAATGGTAATTTATTTAAACAAAACAATGAGTAGACTCGTAATCTTTGTTTATCATTAACATTGGACACGTGTGCCGATTGATTGGAATTTCATTGAAAAAAATTCATTACCTTTTACCCCACTTTTAGATTTAATTTGGAATTTTTGTATGAAATGTGAGAAGATTAGTTTTTTTTTTGTTAGGAAAAATGTAGGAGGGTTTAAAAAAATAATAAAAATATATTTATAAGATATATTTGAAAAAATTTACCCCCTATCTAGAATTTGAACAATGAACGTGTGCCAATTGATTGGAATTTAATTCAAAAATTAACTACCACCACACTTAGATTTAATTTTCAATTTATGAAACGTACGAAGGTTACTTTTTCTTAGCAAAAATGTAAGAGGGTTTTAAAAATACTAAAAATATATATATAAGATATATTATTTATTGAAAAACCATCCCCTTCTAAGATTTTAACATTGAACGTGTGCCAATTGATTGGAATTTAAATTTTAAAAATTAAATACCACCACCCTAAGATTTAATTTTCAATTTATGAAACATACGAAGGTGTTTTTTTTTTTTATAGCAAATTTAGAGGGTTTTAAATAAAAAATAGAAATATGTATATAAGATATATTTGAAAAACTTACTCCCCTATCTAGAATTTTAACATTGAACGCGTGCCAATTGCTTGGAATTTAATTTTCAAAAATTAAATACCACCAACGTTAGATTTAATTTTCAATTTTTGTAATGTACGAAGATTACTTTTTCTTAACAAAAATGTATAGGGGGGGGAGGTTTTAAATAAAAAAAAAAACTAAAAATATATATATAAGATATATTATTTATTAGTAACTGATTAGAATTTAATTAAAAAATTAAATACCACCACCCTTAGATTTAATTTTCAATTTACGAAACTTACTTCGAAAGATTACTTTTTTTCTTAACAAATGTAGAAAGGGGTTTCAAAAAGAAAAAAAAAAAAACTAAAAACATGTAAAATATATTTGAAAAACTTACCCTAACTAAAATTTTTAACATTGAACGTGTGCCAATTGCTTGGAATTTAATTTGAAAAAATTAAATACCACCAACGTTAGATTTAATTTTCAATTTTTGAAACGTACAAAGATTAATTTTTTCTTAACAAATGTAGAAGGGGTTTCAAAAAGAAAAAAAAAACTAAAAATATGTAAGATATATTTGAAAAACTTACCCTATCTAGGATTCCTTGTACTAGGAATGACTGAGACTGCACAAACACTTGGGCCACGTTCACAACTCGATGATCCTCTTCCAGATACTGTCGCTTTCTATCAAACTCTCGAGTTTCGTTTCATCATCGTGTGCCGTTGCCGAACTACTACGCGTTGCCGTGGAAACGTCAGTTAGCAGCCGTTAACTACTATGATAAATCACGAATTAAAATTTCATATTGTGTCAGATTCTCAATGTTTACTTTTTTTCTTTAATATTCCATCATAACTTTTAGACAAAACGTAACACACTTCTTGTTTTTTTTCATTACTCAAATAAATCTACAAAATCATAATATATATATTCCATCAAATTAATTTTCAATTACGAGAACTTTGTTTCTCTTCTTTCGAATAAATACAATATTATAATAATAATAATAATAATAATAATAATAAAATGATAAAAGAGACCTCGCCCTTTGGAACAAACGACAGAGAATAACCGTTTAACGTGTTGCCTTGAACTTTTACACCCCTCTCCGTCCCTCTCCACCTTCTCCTCTTCTTCTTCTTCTTTTTCTATCTCTTCTTTCCTCCCATTTTTTTTTTTTTTACTTTATTTTATCTTTCCTATTTTATTTCACATTCGAAAAACACATCAATGGCCACCCCTTGACGAAAAATTACTAAAACTGTATATTGTCAAAAGATGTTTTCAATTCTTTCTAGTATTCTCATTCGAGTTCGGTGACACGCGTTCGCGCACCCTTCGACCTTTCCAAACTCCTCCCACCTTACCTACCTTCAACTCATCCCATTGTCCCTTTTTCTCTTGGAAGATAAATCATTTTAGATTATTATTTTCATTTAATTTAATTCCAATAATTTTAATACACTATAATATTTGTATTATGTAATTAAACCTTCTTTGTTTTTGTTTTTTTTTTTTCTTATTATTATTACATCGATGCATATTGAGAAATTTGGTTAAACAACGATAAACCTTTGTCGATTAATTCGGTTCCAACAACAACAACAACAACAACAACTCGATCATTTTTTGTCATCGAACATAATAATTTTTATGTGATTTTATTACACGAATTAGGGGGAAAGAAAAGAACAAAATATCTGAGGGTTCAAGGGGTGAGATAGGAGAAAAATGCTTGTGGCGCTTAGATTGATTGATCTAGAATTCTCGTATTTCCAAAGGGCGTTGTTTTCTAAACCCTCCCTCTACTCCGAGGATTTTTTTTTTTTTTTACTTTTCTCCCTTTAAGTTTAACTAACAATTTGCACTGATTTTTTGATTTTTTTTTAACAAATCATTTTCAATTATAATAAACGTTAGATAATATCTTTTCTCTTTTAATCATTTACTGAAATATATTTATTGTATTGTATATTATTATTATTATTATTATTATTATTATTATTATTATTATTATTATTAGTGTTAATAATAAACATTGGACGCACGGGAAAATTTGTAAGCGTCGTTCCAGCGACGATTGGACGACGCTCATAACCCATCGAAGTATAATTTATCCTCGTAATTAATCGCGTACCAACCAAAAAAAAAAAGAATAATAAATTAAACGAAAACTAAAAGTTAGATGACAAATTTATAAACCCCGAACGATTGAATCTTGACACCAATGTATGTGTAATACAAAAATGATGATTATGTGTGTGTATATGTGTGTGTGTGTAATAAGGAAAAGAAGACAATGTAGAAATTGTATTTTAAATAAATTATTAAACAATTATATTAAATAGGATTGAACTAAGAAAATATTAAAAGGACAGAGAAAGAAAGAAAGAAAGAAAGAGAGAGAGAGAGAGAGAGAGAGAAAGAAAGAAAGAAAGAGAAAGAGCGCAGGTAAGCGCGTTGATTTTTTCTTTTTTTTTGTTTTTTTTGGGAAGATTCTCTCCCTCGGGTTTTGGATTTTTGGGGTCTTATTTCGCAACGTGCGACGCGTATACGCGACGCGAGACGACTGTTCGTAAAACACGAGCCAGACCAACAAGCTTCTTCCTACGATTTGTTTTAATCATCCCGTTAGGTAGCACCAGGAGGCAGCTCGTCCTGTTGGTTGTATTGATCCACGTGGGAGGGTAGGGGTTCACATTGGCTACCACCACCACCACCACCACTTCCAACCAACCACCAACCCATCTCGCCAAATTCCCGAGGACGTATCCCATTTTTTTCTCTTCAAACTAACTTCAGTTCACCTATTTTCTGTGCGTATTCTGTATTTTTCTATCTTCATTGTTATTCTTGATGTTTATCTAAACAAACAAAACAAAAAATGATCCCTAAAAGCATCCCCTATTTTAAGGGGTTGGACTATCCTCTTTCTGTCTTCTTTCATAGTTTGTTTGTTTTTTGTTTGTTTTTTTTTGTTTTTTTTACTTCATATTCAACGGAGTTTTGTATTTTTTGTTTGTTTGTTTGCATACGCTTGTTTTGTTTTGCATACTTTTTTGTTAGAAAATAAATGATAAATGGGAATAATTATTTGAACGTTTATGGATTTGATTCTTTTTGTGTTTGTTTATTTTTTTTTGTTACCTATTCGAATTATAATGAAAGTTTGATTAATGGTTTACCAAGGAAGGAAATTTGTAATATAACACAAAGTTCGATTGTACTCAGAAGAATTTGTATTATGATCTAAAGTAAATCGTAATTGTATGATCGATACAAATTGATTATTTGTTTTAGATAAGGATAATATTTGTATTATTTATCATCGATAATGTAGATTTCTATAAAGAATTTTATATTACCGATGATCGGTAATCTAACAAACTTATAAAAATGAATTTTCTTGTCATCAGATATCAGCACTAGGCTTCTTCAAATTATAATTTAACCTTTTAGAAAGAAAAAAAAAAAAACAAAAAAAAAAAAGCAAATATATATATAATTAATTAAATTATCCAATCATTTAATTAAGAACAAGAAAAAAATGAATACCTCTAAGGAATGATAATTATAGGTGATAGAACAAAAAAGAAGAAAAAAAGGTTATATCGTAGAAATGGTTTAGGTTAGTTTTAAAAGCCTTAAAAGTTAAGAATCTTTTGTCAAGAAGTTAACCGAGTCACCTGCTAGGTGTCAATTATGCTATCTTTTGATAAAGATCACTATTCGTAGATAAACGAACATATATATATATATAGCAAAGATTCTTAAATAAAGGTTCCCTCTTGTTCTAAAGTTCCAATGGGTCTAAAAGTTAAAATAACATTTAACGAAAATGTCGAGACTTTTATTTTTTCGAGTTGAGGAGGAGGAGGAGTTCAGAGGAGGAGAAGGAGTTCAGAGGGACCAAAATGATCCCCCTTTTTTTCTTTTTTGTTAGAACTAGCAATCCCATATAATAGAAACTAAATATATATGAGTAAAGCTGTCAATGTTGATGAAAAAATAACACTGAAGTGGATCATGTGGAAAAATCAGATAAGAAGAGAAATCTCTTCTCACTCTCTCTCTCTCTCTCTCTCTCTCTTTCTCTCACCTATTATTTTCTTTTCTTTTCGACAATTCTCTATTGTTTGAGAGACTCTCTCTCTCTCTCTTTTTTTTTCTCTCTTTCTTCTTTCAAGAACGAAGATAATGAAACGAGAAAGCTTAAGGTGGCGAAGGACGATCCTCCACTCCAGACGACTTGGTCGACCTGTTTGCGTTCCAACAGGAACAAACCGGGCGCACCTCTTACTCTTTTCTTTTCTTTTCTTTTTCTTTTTTCTTCAAGCAAATATTAAAGTATCCTCTCTCTCTCTCTCTCTCTCTTTCTCTCGTATAATATATTACAGCAGGTACTTCTATATATATATATATATACGTTCATGTGTATATATCTTCATCCTATCAGTTCTCGAACACTCAACACCTGTTATGGTACTCGTTAAAACCTGCTAATAAATAGTTCAAATCAAATTCCATTCTTATCGCGTGTCAATAATTCGTTCCGGTAAAAAAAAAAAGAAAAAAAAAATCTACGACAACGCGTCATTGCTGATAAAAAGAGAGAGAGAGAGAGACAGAAAAGAGGGGATACATTTTTACGTTCATCGTTGGTTCACATAAATACGAGTGAGATTATTTATATGTTAGATCTACTAAGAGGTTATGTTGTATCATGAAATTTTGTGAAAAATCATCCTCCCCCTTTCATATTTCCATGACCAAAGAGGTTATGTCGATTATTTACAGTCCACTCTTGTGTCCACTTGAAACTCCAAAAGGGCGACACGTATGACAAGGAGAAGAACCGCAAATGGTTTTTCCGGCAACGATGCGCTGACAAATATTTACTAGAATTTAGAAGAGGTGAAGGAGTAGGTGGTGAACCTTCTTCGTTTCGTTTCGGTGTTCCAACATCACGCCGTCGTAGTGTTATATGATTCTTTTTAAGGATTTACGAGATAAGTATAGTCCGAGTTGTAAAAATTTGATAAAAGAAATAGAAATAGTTGAGCATTTAACGCTAATAGTAGTAGTAGTAGTAATAGTAGGATTAAATGACTTGAGAAGGTACGAGTATCTTTGATAGGGACACGCTAATGTCGGCTCAAAAAGGGCCGAGGCACGCACTCTTATGCGCACGCATGCGTTTATAACCCTACCCTATTTGCTTAGGCAAATCGAAGAGATTTCGCGTCGTGAGTGTTGTTGTCTTGCCTACAATCTATTCCCACCCCACCCTGTGTTACTCGAACGTGGTAATAAAAAACTATTACTGTGGTCATCAACCTTTTTAACGGCGTAAGCTACCATTAGTAGGAGGCGCGCTAATCGCGAACGTTGTAACGTCAAAAATTATGGTCGCGCGAGGATGTTACCTTGCCGTCGTAAAAACCAAAGCACGATTTACATTTGTATACGACGTGTTTATTTCGTAGCTCTATCCCCGTTCGTCGTCCAAGCGTTGGAAACCAAACGATAGAGACGTAAGGGCCCTCTTCTCAGGAGGATAATAAATCTTCTCTTCTTCCTCCTCCTCCTCTTCCTCCTCTACCTCCCTCTTCCTCACCGTTCTCCTTTCTTTCTTACCCCTCACCCTTGGAAACATCATACGTTAAACTAACGCCAGGGCGTTTTACGTTAAATCCGACACATGCACTTGTCCAAAATCTTGTCTAATAACAAATCAAATAGGATCAATGACTCGTTTCTTTGCTTTATAAAAAGAATAACAAAATGTAATCGATGAGAAAAGGATATCCAGTTGATCGCGTGTACAGTTATTAAAAAAGAAACATTTCAAACGGACGATGCGATCGATGATCGATGATCCGACGATCGTGCGGAGAGATCTGGTTTTTTTTTTCTTTTTTTTCTTTTTATCATTTTCTTTTACCTTTTTCTAACGCTCACTTACCAGAGAGTTTAGTTACGTTCAATTCTATAGAATAACAACTTGAGAGCTCCCACTTTTTAGGGCTACTTTATAAATGTATAACGCGAGTCTAATGTTAAAAGTCAGCAGCATGCGTCGAATCGTTCGAATCGATCTCACGCTCCCACAGGTTGGTTTGTCGGTTCCGAATCCATCGTTGAATCGTTGTGGAAGAAGTGGGGGGTAGAAGGGATACGAGTGATTATGAAATTCTGTCACAACAGCTCGAGAACTTAATTCGTTTCGATGGCTGACCATAACTCGAGGAGGGCCTAAGAGAACCGATCCGAGAGAGAGATCGGTGGCCTCCCGATCTGCCTCAGGAGATTCTCACGCAAACGCGATTCCCCTCTCTTCTTCTTTCCTCATCCTTCTCCTCCTCCTCGTCCTCTACGTCGAACGAACGCGAGGAGTCTTCTTGGCTTTGGCCGACGATGAATTTACAAAGACGGACGCGTACATTCTATTAACAGCGACCACGGATGACGACAAGAAGAAGGAAGAGGGCTGGGGGGAAGGATGAAGGAAGGTGGCGTGAGAAAAATCGACTAGGTGGTGGTATCGAGAATTGTAAGAACAAAAAGAAAATCCTGAGAGGGTTAAAGTTTTATTTAAACGGGCGCCTATCTCTCTCTCTCTCTCTGCCCTTAGTAAGGAACCCCAACGGGTTCTCGTCCACGGATGTCGTGCAACAATGGGGCACTTAAACTCACCGAAAGCTTAAGTCATCGTAACGGGCAATCATCATCACCGAGGTAGAACACTGCCTCCCCAATTATCTCGGGGCCAAAACAATTAAACGCGACGCGCGGATGCTTTCTCGGTATAGTTCTTGGACTCATCTCTCCAAAGGAAGGGACAAAGGGAACTGCATCTTCATCCAATTAGACGATAATGGAAGACGGACGCGCGTTTTGCCACGGGGCCCCGCGAGTCAATGTGCGTCTTCTTCTTCTTCTTCTTCTTCATCTTCTTCTTTCCCCCTCCCTGTCGTTCACCCTCTCACGTTCCTGAGGCATCCTTTCGAAATTTTCTTCCGTATCCTCCTACTTCTCCAGGTTTGGGTTCTCCAGGCTCCAGGCTTCTCGAGGGTTCGCGCGACGCGTTCGAGTGGTCTCGAACGGAGCTTATGCCAACCGGAGTTGTTTAAGCGCTTGTACAAATAGAATACAAAGCGGCGAACAAACAACGGCTAAAAGGTTTGAGTTGTAACGCGCTCGGACGCTCTTCGCGATGGCAAACAGACCAATCGTGTCAGAGAGAAAGAGATAAAAAGAGGTTAAGTCTAGTCTCTCTCTCTCTCTTTCTCTCTTTCTCTT